ACGAATGATCTTCGGATATTTCAAGATCATGATGATCAGAGTTTATTCAAGGATAAAAACCCTCCTCTGGATACTCAGAATGATATCATGTGTATAGTATATCATTATCTGAAGGAGAATGCAAATTCTCAACTCCAGAAGATTTCATCCTCAGATTCGAAGAGTTCATTCTCAAAAGATGAAAACTTGTTAATTTCATAGACCTGAAATCGCAGTTCGCGATTGCGTTTTCTCAATTCGAATTTTTTTTCCACACCCTGCATGATAATTATCAATTTGTTATACATCCTAACAATATTCAAATAAGTTTGACATGAGGAATACATCCATGAATTGATGAGAACTCAATAGCACGATAGATATGTATGCGGGTGGTATTTTTATGTTGGTCATGACGAAGGGTATTGAGTTTTGAACAGCAATTTCCCTAGGAATAATGTTCGAGGAGTTCTGAGAGCCATAAAGCAGAGATTCCCTCTACTGTTATTCGATACATATCGAATGGAAGGTTTGAACACGAATTTTATTATCTCAACTATGGGTTGTTACATATCAAATGAAAAGTTAATACGCTAATTTCATGACAATTGATGTTTGAAACGTTTCGATGGCCACAAAGCAAAGATCATCTCAACTATGGATTGTTACATTTCAGATGAGAGGTTTGAACACCGATTCAATGAAAATTGATCCATAATTGATTCTTCTCCCTACTATATGAATGCTTTCTTCATTTTTGCAGGGTTCCATGGGTCATATAGTGAAGACTATGTAACAACATATCGAAAATCGAATGAGAGGTTTGCACACAAATTTCACCGAAATTATTCCTTGAACTGTCTCAAGGTCACGAACGTTTTATTAGATTCAATGTTCCTCCATGTTATGAAGAGTATCAGGCGCTCTGGAGGCGGTATATTCAAATGCTAGTTCATATGGAGTGAAACCGTGTGTTTCATTGTTCATGATATTATAACACATGACTGCAGATGAAAGCATGTTGAAAGACTGTTCATCGAAATTTGGGGCTGAGTTAACTCTAATCCTTTCGAGTGAACTGTTTGAAAGTGGATGGTTAACACAAGAAAATATTAGAATTCCTATTAGATTGATGGTCCCTTCATGTTATAGAGAGTATCATGCGCTCTGGAGGCGGTATGTCCAAATGCTAGTTCATATGGAGTGAACCGTGTGTTTTATTGTTCATGATATTATAACACATGACTGCAGATGAAAGCATGTTGGAAGACTGTTCATCAAAATTTGGGACTGAGTTGACTCTAATCATCTCAAGTGAACCGTCTGAATGTGGATGGTTAACACAAGAAAATGTTAGTTCTATGTCGTACAATGTTGTGAATATACCAAAAGGTTATTCACTACTGATTTTGCGGATTTGTCTCCTATTGCATAGGCTCGCGTGAATTTTGCAAGTTCGTCTCTGATTGTCAGTGCGTAATTCCCTGTCGTTACTTCAGAAAGGTCAATATTGAATTTTTCTTAAGGTGATTTCAGGGTTTTGATGATGAATAATGGCGTACTTGAGTTTCTTTTACGAACTCCAGTCTTCTGATGCAATTCACAGTTCTTGACAACATTTTCAACGGCTTTGCTTAGTCCGTGTTGATTATATTTTTCTCTGATTCTTCCCACAGTTCCATTCAGTCCACGATGAAGATCAACTCTGATTGAATAAAATTGTTTCAATATGATCGTTATTTGATCAGGAACGGGTATTCTGGTGATATTCTGGCAAATTTCAATCTCGATATCTTTGTCTTTGAATGGAAAGCAAAATATTCTCAGAATTGGTAGATTCCAATTGTTTTCAACGACGTATGTTTCAAAGGGGTCTAATTGATTTTTATCCTTCTTCAATTTATAGAATAATCGTTTTATGACTGATTTGGGATCGAAGGGAAGAACGATTTCAAAATATTTGAATCTTCGGCTGATTTGCTGTTAAAATTGTTGATAACATCAGGGTGAAAATCGGTATCCTATTCAAGAATATCTCCATTGATAGTATGATGGAAAACTTGCAGTTTATTTTGACAGAGATAGATTATCACGTCTGTATCAGATTCATCAAGTCATTGAGAATTGACAAATTTTATCTTTGAATAGTCTATAAGTGATTTCGTTCTGTATATGTCGACAGAGGTATGGAATTCGTCTTGGATTCTTTCAGGTGTTGCTTCGTCGGTTTGTTCGTCTAGTACGGAATTTTCTGATGTATCGGGGATGTCGAATTTTGCACATTGATCAAAATGATTGATTCCAATACATGAGAGTACGTCTGCATTTGAATCAGTTCTGCCTGATTTGAGAACGATCTCATAATCGCATTCTCCTAGTTTTTATCGTAATCAAATTACTTTACTACAAGGGTCCTCAATTGACAAGAGCCAGGTCAGAGGACGATGATCTGTCACCAATTCGAATTTGTGTCCAGAAAAGATATGGGCGAATGTGCTCCACTGACCATACTATTGCCAACAGTTCTTTCTTTATCGTTGAGTACTTTGTTTCGGCTGCACACAAGGTTCTTGATGCATGAGCTATCGGAAAATCTTTACCCATTGGTTCTCGAGATAAGACTGCGTCTTTCACGAATGCACTGGCGTCGGTTAATAGAAGGCAAGGTTCGTCCAAATTTGTGTAGATTAGTTTTGAAGATGTAGTGAGTGCTTCATTGAGTGTTTCGGAAGAGTTTATACAGTCTGCGTAGGAATCAAGAGGGATGTCTTGTCAGGAATCCTGAAGTCTTCGCAGAATTTGAGACGAATCGCTTATAGTGGTCGAAAAGGCCAAGGAGAGATTTCATGTCTCTCGGATTTTTGAATCGACTAAAATCTCTTATACACTCGACTTCAGAGTAATTTGGTTTCACGCTACGTTTGAGAACTTCTGAATTACGAGTGATATGTTATGAATAGTAGGAAAATAGACGATGATATGGTTCAATCAAACAATGCAACGGTCATTTCGAATTCTAATTGAGATGTTGTCCAGTAGGCGTTGAAAGATGGAAGTGGCCTTTTCCAATCCGAATGGCCTAATGCGTTCTTCTGGATATTTTTTTGATCAATATCAATTTGATGAAATTCAAAAGCCAAATCGAGGGTGGTGAGATATTGGCACTTGCCCAATTTGTCGAGGAGATCGGAGATGTTTGGAAGTAGATACTTGTAGTCGATAGTGACTTCTATTCAGTTTTTAAAAGTCGATGACTTTTTGCCATTTCTGTCCACCGAAAGCATCAAACTTCTTTGGTACAACCCGAACGGAGGATGACCATGATGAAACTGAAGGCTGAATGATACCTTGATTGGGCATTTTCAATATTTGCTTCTTCACCTATTCCTGAGTACTCGAGGGTACTGATAATATTTGGTAAATGTAGGTCTACTGTCTCCAGTGTGAACGTCGAGTCGTCATCATCAAGATAAAAAATATCTGAAGAATCTTAACAGAGATTTGTTATGAGGTTTCGTTTTTCTTCGTTGAAATGATCGAGACGTAGTTGGTTTCGAATTGGACCTGATAAACTTGCTCAACGTTGGGTCCCTCTCAGTCAGAAGGTTATAGCCAAAGCTGGAAAAGAATGCCAAGTCGCCCAATTAGTGGAATCGGCAACCAACGCAAATATCAACCTGGCACGTTTACTTTCAACCAACAAAGTCGCTTCCTTTATTCTTATCATAAAGACCACCAAGTGCAAGAATAGTTGAATGTGGAGAAGAATGTCACAGAATTGAGTCAATCAGATATTTCCAAAAAATCGACGAAGTTGAGGACGACACAAGAATTTCTTCACCTTCAGAGGAGCAGAAAGATGGGAATAATATACCAGCAACTTTCTATTTGCTTGGAATAGGACCGTGATTAACCAAGACTCTTGAAAAAATCTTAACAGTGAACGTCCTAATTTTTTGATTTCTTTTCCACTTCCAACTCTTCTTCTCCAGCAAGCATTCGTTATCATACAGATTTCTTACGATAATCAAATGAAAGATATACACATAAACTACAAGTCTATTTCTCAAGCTCGATCTGTAGGTTGAGTGGTTATTTTGATATTCAGTTCAAAACGAGAACAAGGTTATAACTGTTATAAGGTGTGAGTGATATGTGAAGACTTGGAGACTGAAGGCATTTTCGGTATTTCATAACGATTTCGAGTGTTTTTCTTGTTTCCACCATGTTTCTGCTGTGTTCGATGAACTCTAAAGTGTCGATGAGAATGAGTGGAGGTGAGTGAGAATGGAAAATGCTCTGAAATTTCCCTAACCTCTGTGAAAACAAAAAAAAATAAATAGTGAGTGATCTATCCTCGACCTGTTGAATATCTAGAAGTGATCACGGTCAGACATTGTTGGGTAGGTATTGATAGAATCCAAGGTAAAATCTGGTCAATCTCCAATTCTCATTTGAACAACAGCCACTGATGATTGATTATGATGGCTGATGATTACTCCACTAGAAACCAAAGGGCTTCACATTCTGGATTGAAGATATATTATTGGTTATGGAAATTTGAACATTTCGTCAGTGATTATCATTTTTTGTTCAATAAATAAGTTCACGGAGAACCCCAATGAAATGAATTCTGGACTGATTACTTCACGAGGTGGTTATGTCTTCTCAAAACTCAAGGTGGTAGAGATGGGAGAAACTATCTATATAGTGGCCTCGTCCTATTAGTTATTTAGCAATGAAATGAACAAACGATATGTTCCTGGTATGGGCACACGATACGTCCCTTGTAGCCTATTTTATACCCCCAATACATTGGTGATTATTATATGTTCAGCGAATATCTCTTTGAAATTTGATCTTGAAGAGTTCCGTTATAAAATCTGTTTCTTGTTCGCTACTAATGATAGGTTATTTCAAATTCAACGTTCATGTGAAATATTGTTCCCATTATGTTTTCTCGAAATGATTCCTGAGTGTGCACTCAATATATTCTGGCAAAAAATCAGCTATTAACTCACCTGGTAACTCTGCCTTCTCAGTTGCATTTTCAACTCTGATTTCCGTCTTCATATTGTAGTCAAAACTTAACCTTCTGATTCTGATGTTCAAACAGTAAAAAAAAATATTAGACTATTCCCAACTGATCGAAAGGTTTGAAGATATCATTCGAGCCGATTAAATCATCTAATTATTGTTTCACTGTCTTATCTCCTTGAATGGGTGAATCTCAGATGATTAGAGATATAATCTGATTGCATTGAGAATATTCATTCTGATTGTTCGAGATGATGAATTATACATATGAATTTTGAAGTTTCAATCGATTATTCGAGTTTTTATTTTTTTATCATATTATTGGGTGCGCACAAGATTGACTGTCCTTTATGTTTGGAGAACATCGCGCGAGGAAGTAGAAATCAAATGAGACTTAGGTAGTCATCAGATTTTTGTTGAACTTTTAGAGATAATCAGTTCTTGGAAATAGTTTTTTCGACAGAGAATTCAAATGCTTTTCTTTCAAGCGGTATAAAGGAAGGCTTCTCTCTGACTTTCAAAGAATAGTAATAATTGTGAATTTTCGTTCTTCGATACCGAATTTTGAAGGCAATTCCTACACTTTTAGGTGAATATATTCATCATATGGTCCTGGAATACAGAGACAAAAATGTCTGGAATCGAAAAGTGTCTGCGTCTTGCGAAAAAAGATCAAGAACTGCCGACGACAACCAAGCAATACAAGTTATAGCAGCAATTGAGGATAATGCAGATGGTCCTAGCTGTTCACTTCAACAGGCAAACAATTCTTCTAGAAAATCTACGGTAGGAAATGCAACAAATGATGACTCATCTACTATGGAATCTTCAAAAGCAGACAGCAAAAAGAATGGTTCTCAAGAAGGTAGGACTACATGTTTGCGGACAAGACGGAGCGCAGCTCCATACAGAAGATGTGTAGAAATTGAAGCAGATATCGAGAAAGGAGAAATTGAGCAAGAAGTGCTGAGAAAGCAACAAGAGATTTCAGATCTATAACTTGCGAAAAAACTGACGCAAATGGAGATGTGGTGAGTCAAGATTCAGATGTGCAAGAATGGGTACAAGGTGAACATCCTTGAAATGATCATGTCAACTACAGATGTCTTTTATTCCAGATGAGGAATATTTCAACCATAGAATGCCAAAATTCAGAAATTGGGGAGTAACACACGCGACTAAATATTTTATCAAAAAATGTATGGGCTGTGAAAACGAAATGCATCATTTGAGTATTTTTCCAAAATTCGCGGTTCTCTCAACTTACGAATGATGATCTTTTGTGACATCTTCCTTCTTGTCTTTCGCCTTATCACTCCATAAAAGGATGCAGGAAGAGGAAAACTTGCGAAGTACGAGGCTGTGAAAAGCCTTATAATGAACTCTCACATACTCCTGTGCTTCCAACTACTGAAGTGTCAAACCATTCGGAAGGAAATGTATTGTCATAATTCTACAGATAGAGAAGTATTGTTGAAAATGTTGCCAGTGGTGATAAATGAAGACAATCAAGTATTCAAAACATTTGCACTTCTGGACGATGCATCCACTGGTGTTTCAATAGTTGAAGATTCAGCCAATGAATTGGAACTGAATGGACCCAATCAATCTTTATGTTTGCAGTGGACAAATAATCGAGTGGAAATGCAGAATGATCTTACAATTGTCACAAGAATTTGCGGAGGAAATAATCCGAAATAAGGTCATTATTCACGCCATGTCAGAACATCCAAGGGTCTCATTACCCTAAAAAACAGTTGATATTGAGAAAATCCGCCGTTTATACCCGTATATTCACTCTCAACAAACTTTGTTTGATACTATGCACAAGATTAGGAACAAGTTTGACACCAGGCTATTAAAGAAGACCAACAACACCATCCTACCCGAAAGCAAGAAAACTGCAATGAGAAGACTTCACTGTACCGAGAGACGGATGGACAAAGACAAAAACTTAGCCAACAATAACATGATCAAGATCAACGACATGGAAAAGAAACACTATATTCCAATGCTGTCGGGAGAAGAAGCTGAGAAATATGGTGCAAAAATATATAATCCACCACATTTTGGAATTACTAATCCAAATAAACCAAATCAATTAGGAATTGTATTCGATGCAGCATCTGAATCAAATGGGGTTGGTCTAAACCAATCTTCACTCACTGGACCAGACCTCCATAATTCTCTACACACCATTTTCTTAAAGTTTTGCATGTAGAAATTCGCTTTCACTGCTGATCAAGCAGATGTTCCTTCAAGTTTAGGTCAGGAAAAAAGATCGCTCAACGAATTCTTCATCGAGGGATGAAGAGAAATGAAGAACCGGATGTTCATGACATCGATGTTGTCTTCTTTGGTGCAGTCGGTGGTCCATGTCTGGCACAAGAGCCCAAAAATCGAGATGGGTGCGACTCCATACAGAATTATCCGGAGGCTGCTGAAGTTAAAATCCTGTCACACTACATGGATGACTACCTAGGAGGAGCATACACCAAGAGAGAAGCTCAGAAGCTGATTCAAGATTCTGTATATGTACACACTGAGGGAGGATTTGTAATCTGTAACTGGATTGCGAATGATCAATCAATACTCAGAAAGGTAGCACACAGTCAGAAAAATCTTGATGAATCAGATTAATCAACAAAACGAATACTTGGAGTTTGGTGGAATCCAAAGAAGGATAACTTCAGATTCCGAACAAAATTTCATGATATCAGCAGAGATTTATTAACAAAAAAAAAAAATACCAACTGAACAAGAGGACCTGCAAGTTGTCATGTCGCTATTTGATCCACTTGAATTTTTGGCAAAGGACCCCGCACTTTTCCTTCATAAAAATGGTGTTTTGCCGAATTTAATAATGATCAAATATGCCGAGTCCTAATCCAATTCTATGATCAGTTCTTGAGATACAGGGTGTTGAGGTTGTGAAATGCCTCCTTTTCATCTACCCATATCTCCAAGAAAAGACAAATGGATCAGAATTTTCTGCAAGCAGTTTTTCAGTTCAACCTTTAGGTTCAACAACCATGTACAGAATCAACCAAAGCTGATCTTCATCACAGGGTGTTATTTTCAATTTCCAGATATCGAAACTACAACTTGATACAAATTTGAAAATTCAAAATTATCATTGGATATGTTCTTCTTACATGAAATGGATTCATTATATGTATTGATTATACATGGTGTTTCGTGAATGCTGATGTTATGGAAATAAAGTTTAATGAGCCACCTTGTGTTATCGGGTCGATTTAGGCTATTGATTATGATTTTTGAGAACACAACATGATGCACTACATGGAAAACAGAGTGATTTATTTATTGAAAAAATTGCCAACTACAGAAAAATATTGAAAAACCACTGTTTTTTCCATCACCCTCTAATTTTAGATTTTCACCGTTAAGGTCAGATTTTTTTTTTTTCATCAATATTCTTAGTATTAATACCTCAATGAGATGAAGAATTTTCAGCTCCTTGCTATGACTAGTTTTCCATATATTGTATATAATAAAAGTGATTACCCACTCAGATTAAAAACCTACTGCTTTGAAACGAAAATATTACTCGTAGAAAATATTACTGTTACTGAGATATCTCTATTGAAGACTTGGAAGAATAACAAAATATACAGTATACAGGGTGTCTGCTACACCATGGATCAAATATACTCTAGCTGGTGATAAACAAGTTTATAGCCCACCAAAATACCATAACTTGATTTTTTGTACAGAGAATTCAATTCCTATTTGTAGGTTTCAAGCTTCACATGATGACAGCAATTCATTTTCTGTTTTTTTTAAGCCCGCTCTGAATATTCTGGAATGCAAGTTATAAGGAAATTAATCACAAACTGGAAAAATAACGAACATGTATACAAGAAGATGATATATGTTCACCTTATTATGGACTTGAAGGAAATTGAATACTTGAACTTGATGGAAATATTTCTATGAACCTAGATTGGGAACGGACTGCTGAAAGAATTCATGTCGTCTTCAAATCATGGATCATGCAAAATCAGTTCCACAAATTCCACATTGTATGTTATTTCGGAATAGTATGAGATGATTTTACCATACCACCATAAGTGACGTGATATCGGGTTATCATAAGACTTAACAAATAAAGATTTGCGTATTGAAACTTCAGCAGTTACATTAGGAATACAAGAAATATGTTCGTGATGTCTACTAATAATCTGTTATTCCAAAGCAGTAGGTATCTGATGAAATATCACTTTTTCATAATCAAAGATGGAAATCAAGTTTCCATATCCTTCACTGGTTAAACGGAAAACTAATGATAGCAAGGAGCAGAAAATTCTCCATTTTTTGGGGTAGTCATACAAACATTTGATATAATTTGTGCAGTGGACTAGACCTTCTGATGGTACCACTAAAAAAAAATGCGATGGAAATTCTTCTTCTAGGGTGGCGTGGAAACGAGTTAGTTGTATTATACAGGATCTCACGAATCTCGAGATATTGGAACTTTTATTGAAAAAAATAATTCCTGTCTTCGTGTGTAGCTTGAAACATACAGGAAGGAATCGAATTCTATGTATTAAAGTTCTAGTTATGATATTTTGGTGGGCTATAAACTTGTTCATCACCAGCTAGAGTATATTTGATCCATGGTGTAGCAGACACCCTGTATACTGTATATTTTGTTATTCTTCCATGTCTTCGATGGAAATATCTCAGTAACAGTAATATTTCCTACAAGTAATATTTTAGTTCCAAAGCAGTAGGTTTTTAATCTGAGTGGGTAATCAATTTTATTATATTCTACTATAACTACTAATAGCAAGCAGCTGAAAATTCTTCATCTCATTGAGGTATTAATACTTAGAATATTGATGAAAAAAAAATCTGACCTTAACGGTGAAAATCTAAAATTAGAGGGTAATGAAAAAAACAGTGGTTTTTGAATATTTTTTTGTAGTTGGCAATTTTTTCAATCGATAAATCACTCTGTATTCCATGAAATGCATCATAATGTGTTCTAAAAAATTATAATCAATAGCCTGAATCGACCCGATAACACGAGGTGGCTCATTGAACTTTATTTTTTTAACATCAGCATTCACGAAATACCTTGAATAATCAAAATATTGTTAGCGTCAATATTCGGAGCACCCCGTAAATACAACTAGTTGTCAGCAATGAATCAACCATATCATCGTTGGAATGCGGTTATTGAATAATCAAGACCGGCAGGCGAGTGATAACGGACACCGAGCAGTTCAGTTTTTAGTTTGAGTATTGGAACGTGTCTCGATTAGT